CACCTCCCGCTCTTTACCTTATCGCCTTATTTGGGGACGCAAAGGGGAGCCGGGTGCCTCGCACAGCTGTTGGACTACAGGTCCCATCAGGCCCAGCCAGGGGAACTGAAGAGTACCAGGCTGGGAACCCCGTTTTAGGTCCCTGCTTGGGAGGATGTCTCCTCCTTCTACTCCCCTTAACATTCTTTCATTTGTTTGGACTCCCCAACTCCCATCAGCCACAGCCAGTTGACAGGAGTGATGGGTGTTGCAGTCCTTGGTTCTTGCTTAGATCTACATGCCTATGGCAGATGGCAGCCAGCCTCACAGAGGCCAAAGTGGGGTACCTGCAGGGACCCCGAGAGTCATAAGGATGAACCGTCGCACCCCTGGCGGAGTTTGTGCATTGCCGTTCTGAAATAGGATGGCTTGGTTGGGCTACCTTCCCAGTCTGGGTCAACCTTGCCAAAGTTGGGGACTTCAACTCCCAGAATTCCCCAGCCAACAAGAGGACTTCTGGGAATTGAAGTCTCACCAGGGAATTCTGGAACTTATTTCCATGTTGCTCAACCTTGGCGGTTTTAAGATGGGTGGACTTCAACTCCCAGAATTCCCCATTGTAGGAGTTGAAGTCCATCCATCTTAAAGCCGCCAAGGTTGAGAAACACTGGTTTATTGGGCGTTATTTTCTTGAGCGATCCTAGTTACTGAGTTTGTGTTACCCATTAAATAACTCTCAAGTAAACCAACTCTCTGTAGTCCATTGTGAAGACACTGCAGGTACTCCACACTTGGATGCAACCTGCAAACCAAGGAAACTATGTGGATTGAGTAAACTATGAGTAAGCCTGGCTTGCAAATCCAGCTGTATGCCAGGTTTATTTGCTTAGTACCTGAAAGGGATGGTTCTTTTATCTAGTGATCTTCCCCTGCCCCACCCAGCTTAGCAGGTCGGGAGATCAGGGATCTGGGAAATGGTCTTAAGAGGGGAAACTGAGGTTCTTGGGGTGGGTGGGAGCCCCCATTTCTTGGCAGCGAGCCTGGTGAGTGGAATCCGGTCTTCCCAAGGGGAGAGAACTAGCTGGGGAATAATAACGGAAGGGCACCAGCTGAGTTGGAAGGCATCTGAGAGACCATCTAGTCCAGTGTTTCTCAACCTTGACAATTTTAAGGCATGTGGACTTCAACTCCCAGAATTCCACAGCCAGCAATGCTGGCTGTGGAATTCTGGGAGTTGAAGTCCACATGCCTTAAAATTGTCAAGGTTGAGAAACACTGATCTAGTCTGACCTCTTATTACATCATTAGGAGGAGTTAGATTTGGAAGTTAGATTTGCTAGTATGTTTTTTTAAAAAAACGATTCAATTTCAGTCTATTTGATGCTGGCCAGTTGGTTTTTGTACCCTATACGGGATGTCCTCAACTTACGACCGTTATTGAGCCTACAATTACAGTTGTAAGTCGACTCTAGATGAGATGGGAGGCATGTAAATCGAATGAATGAATGGTGCTGGTCATTAAGCAGGTCATCACGTGACCTGGCCGATTTTGCCACCTTTTCCTGCAGCTGTTGTAATGTGAACCTCACCGTCGTTAAGCAGACTAGAGGCATTTTTCCTGGAAATTGGAAATAAAAGCCAGTTTCTAGCAAAAACATAGTAAATCTTGGTCACATGACCGCAGGACGTAAGTGTGGGCCGGTTGCTGGATGCCCAAAAATGCAGTGACAGGACCCTGTTGGGGGGGGGGGAGCATCTGGGTTGCAAGTACCTTTTGGGGAGGTTCCTCGTAACTTTGAACGGTTGCTAGGCAACCGATTGTAAGTCCAGGACTACTTGTGATTGAGGTGTGAAGCCATTTCCCCCCCCCACACATACACCCCCAAGTGGGGCAGGTTTACTTGGTAGCTAGTTTGAGCTACTTTTCTGAAAGTGTATCCAGGATTTTGTGCCTCCTGCATTGAGGAAGAGATGGATTCATTGTTGCAGCTGAGTAAACCCTGTGTAGCTTTTGCACATTAATGCAGGGATTCTCAACCGTGGCACTTTAAAACACGTGGACTTCAACTCCCAGAATTCCTCAGCCAGCCTTGGACTAGAGCAGAAGTCTCCAACCTTGGCAACTTTAAGGCCTGTGGACTTCAACTCCCAGAATCCTAGAGAGGAACGAGAGTTGGGCCCACCAATAATTCAACAATTGGGAGTCCAACAGGACGTTTTCAGTTTAACTCTTGGGACTGAAAAGGCTTTTGTGAGTTGTGGGTCGCTTCCACCAAGAGGCGCTGACTCATTTTTTCATCAGAAACAAAAAGAATCTTTAGGCATGAATCATCAAAGATCCGAAAGATTTTAAAAGCTTTCCTCTTTGTTAACAGGGGACCCTGCTCCTTTCTTTCTGGGGTTTTCTTTTTTTGGAAAAAATATTTTTGTTTGTTTGTTTGCAAAATGTATGAGTTGCCCATCTTGCCACACAGTAACTCTTGTTGCCTTCTGTTTCCAGAGTGGAGATCTATTTGAAAAGTACCCTATTTTCTATTTCTTTTTAAAAAAAAACAGTTGTCAGTTTTGCTTTGTGTATTGTTTTCTCTCCATTTTGCTTTTCTTCAACATGCAAATAAGTAACAATACCGAATGCAAACTAATCAAGGCGGAAACTCGAGGTGTACTGCACCCTATTAAATTTATGATCATTTACCGTATCTTTTCTCTCTCTCTCTCTCTCTCTCTCTCTCTCTCCCTCTCTCTTTCTCTCCAGGTCCCCTGCATTAATCCACTTTCTTAGCACTTTCTCAAAATGTTCCTGGTCAAGAACTTTCTTGGAGGCGGAGGAGGTGGTGGTGGCGGCGGAGGTGGAGGCAACATCAACATTGGAAATGTCATTGGAGGATTTTTAAGTGGGGGAGGGAGTGGAGGGGGAGGGGGTGGTCAAGGAGGAGGAGCCATGAAATTTCTGGGAGGAGTCATCGGTGCCATCAGGTAAGAATGCGCTCTAAATTTTTATTTTATTTTATTTTATTTTATTATTTTATTTTATTTTATTTTTTATTTTATTTTATTTTTATTGTTTTTATTGTTTATTATTTTATTGTATTGTATTTATTTATATTTTATTTTATTTTTTATATTTGGAGACCATCCCTCTCACACAGCGACTCTGGGAGGTGTACAATAATAGAGAAATATTATGTGTTATGGTATTACACTGATATTTTATATTACACTCATAAGAATGTGAGAAATGGCTATTTTCCTGATTGCTTTTGGCGAGCCTGAAATACTTTCCACACCTCCAGGAAGTGAAACTTCCTAAACCATGGTTGACACTTTCCTTTCAAGGGACATGCTACATAAAGGTGTTGCAAGCCTGGAGGCTTAGCTCAAAAAATCCCCACTGTGGACTAGCAACTTGCATTATGAGACGTTGCATTTCAGGTTCTTTGCGCCAAGATGAGCAGCTTTGCAGATGGCCTGAGGTCTTTCTTCCTCGTGGCCAGCTCTGTGTGTCTCAATCTGCCATAGAGCTGAAAATGGGAAGGCTGCATCCCAGTCAGATTCACACAAAACCTGATTTCTGTACCAGAAATTTGAGGATTACCTTAATTTAATCTCTTGTGGGAAGACAAGTAAATTGTGGTACATCAGATCACCAATCCTGTTTTCTGTTTTTAGAATTAGCTGTGGCTTAAGATGGAGCGAGGAACCAGGATGATGGGTTTGCAGACCCCTTGCCCTCCACCTGTCACCTTGCAGACCCCTTGCACACCACTTAAATCACACCTCCCCTCTATTTTCACCTGCTCAGCTTTTTGCTTTGATGCTCTGAGGAAGCTGAGTAAATTACACAAAGTTGCTTCCTTTTTGCATCTGGGTCTACTGGCATGGGACGCCCTGGGCGCTCCCCATTACGAGAAACTTCTGCTGGGGTTTTGTTTACAGCCAAACCGGTTTGCTAGCTCTGCAACACCGACGCCATCCAGAAACCAACAATGCTGAGTTGAAATTCAGGTCAGCGGTTCTGAATGGCTGAAATTCCCAATTCATGAGCCATGAAAAAAAAACAACAACCACCGATTGGCATTAAAATGAGCCAATTTTGGGGGTTCTGGAATTTCCTTCTGTTCTTGGTGCTTGAACGAGAGAGAGGATAGCAGCAGAAATGGGGTGCAAGGGGTTTCGGGCAGCAGAAGACGCTGGTGTGCAGGACACCCCTGTTTCCTGGTGCCTGTCCCCATGTTATAGTTTCCTGCAAAAACTGCTGTAGCCAGAGGTGATCTGGGCCTGTCTACGGTTCCTCGATCAGTTACTGTCCAGAAGTAGTTCCTCAATTTTGCCACTTTAAGATGGGCGGACTTCAACTCCCAGAATTCCTCAGCCAGCCTTGCTCAGCCTCCTTCAGTGAACCTTGCTGGCTGAGGAATTCTGGGAGTTGAAGTCCGTCCCTCTTAAAAAGTGGCAAAATTGAGGAACTACTACCCATTGTTTTTTTTTTTTTTTTTTTTTTTTTTTTTTTTTTTTTTGTTGTTGTTCCAATTCTACCTTGCAGGGTTATTGCAAAGATAAAAGGAAATGTTAGGGACACACACACACAAACACACCAGTGACTTAAAGGATGGCCTGAATTATTAGTAGAATAAATTAGTGATATCAGTAAACCTTGTGTCTGGATGCAGCCATCGCAAGAAATTTTTCATGTTAAGGAGACTGCATATACTCTCTGTGTGTGTGAGAGAGAGAGGCGGGGTGGGGTGCAAGAAGAGCTTGCAATTTAGCTCCGAACTGCTTTGTTTGATGAAAGGGGGGTTGTAGCCGTTCTGCATAACCTGTTTGCGTACAAATGTCTGCCAGCAGCAGAAAGCTTCTGTGGAAGGAGATTTTTCTGAAATTCTCTTTTTATTTTTCATGCCTTCCTGCCCGCCAGTGAAGCAGCAGCCCAGTATAACCCAGAGCCTCCGGTAAGACCTCTCAGCTCTTCTCGCATGGTTGAAGGGATCTGCCTTTATTTGACTCGATTCCCTCGCTCCCTCCCTTCCTCCCCTCACTCCTTTTCCTTCTTTACCCTATCTCTCCTTCCTTCCTTCCTTCCCTCCCTCCCTCCATCCCTCCCTCACTCACTCCTTTTCCTTCTCCACCCTTTCTCTCCTTCCTTCCGTCCCTCCTTCCCTTCTTCTCCTTCTCCCTTTCTCTCCTTCCTTACTCCCTCCCTTCCTCTTTTTCCTTCTCCGTCTCCTCCTCTCTTTTTTCTCCTTCCTTCCTTTCTTCCTTCCTTCCTCCCTCCCTTCCTCCCTCCCTCCTTCTCCTTCTCCTTTTCCTTCTTCTCTTTTTTTCTTTCTCTTTCTCTTTCTCCTCCCTTTCTCTCCTCCCTCTTCCCCAGTGAACCCAAGAAATGAGGGGAGGTCTCTTTGGAGCCTCTTGCCCGGCCCACTCTAAAGCTGCAGACTCTGCTGCCTCTTATCACCTTAGCAAGCAACATCCAGTTGAACCATCGGAGAAGAAAAAACATATTTTATTCCCCAAACTACCAAGGAAGAACGCTCCCTTCCCAGCCAAGACTGGCAGGGCAAGCTGCCATATTTAAACCACTGGCAACCTTCACATACCCCCCCCCCCCCAGGCAGGGATGTGATTGCCCAGCTTATTCGGGTACTTCCTCTCCTCCTCTTCCTCCTTTAACGTGGTCTCTCGCATCCTCTCTTCTTCCCCAGCCGCCTCGCAGCCATTTCTCCAACATTGAAGCCAACGAAAGCGAGGAAGTTCGGCAGTTCCGGAGACTCTTCACCCAACTGGCTGGGGACGTGAGTATGGGGCGAGGGGGGCTCAGTTGTGGCCGTAAGCCGAGGACTACCTGTAACAGATAGCAGAAGTCTCAGTTCAAAGGCTCGCCTGAAAAGCTGTTTTCAGACATTTTCCCCAAAGCAAAGAAAGTGGGATTTATTGAAATCTTGGATTTACCTGCTTTGAATCATAATTAGATCTCAGACTGATTTCCTTTTGTTAGACCGCTCAACCCATAACTCTGATCCTTGGCTTCAAAAAAAGAAAAAAGCCTCTTGCTCTCCTGAACAGGGGGTGTGGGGGGAGGGGTTCAAAAAAAGGCAAGATGGTGGCCATGATCCCATTTTTGGCCCCTCCCCTCTCGAAGACCCTGCTCCTGACGGGAGGGCCTTCTCTTTCGGCAGGACATGGAAGTGAGCGCGACGGAGCTGATGAACATCCTGAACAAAGTAGTCACCCGGCGTAAGTAGAGAACTCCTCTTCAGGGTGGTGGTCTGTGGAGAGTCAGAGCTGGGGGGGGTGGTTTGTCACCTCCCCCCTGCCGATTCTACATCTTTCAGTTCTCTCGGAGAGCACCAAGGACCCCGGAGTCCTCCTCCTCCTCTTCTCCCTTCTAGCCTTGATGTTGTTACCTAGCTGGGTCATGAAATGTCCGCAAAGAAACTATCAAGCTCAGAGAGCACTAAGAACAAAACAACCCTTCTCCTCCTCCTCCTCCTCCTCCTCCTCCTCCTCCTCCTCTCTGTAAACCCTACTCCCTTCTATCCCTGATGTTGTTACATAGTTGGGACATGAAATGTTTGCAAGAAAATCACAAGCTCAGAGTCCCAAGGAGCCCACAGTCCTCCTCCTCCTCCTCCTCCTCTCTGTAAACCCTACTCCCTTCTATCCCTGATGTTGTTACATAGTTGGGACATGAAATGTCTGCAAGAAAGCAACCAAGCTCAGAGAGCACCAAGGACCCCACAGTCCTCCTTCTTCTCCTCCTCCTCCCTCTCCCTTCTAGCACTGATGATGCTGCCTAATTAGGATTGTGAAACATCTGCATGAAAACCACCCAGCTCGGAGAGTCCCAAGGACCCCTCATTTCAACCCTGTGCCCTTTTGCCCACAGTAAAAAAATGACAATAAAGGTTATCTTATCTTATCTTATCTTAAGCTACAAATACTCCCTTCTATAGGCAGACCCCTCCCTCCCCCCCGCCCCATCTTCCGAGGACCGAGTAAATTCTCTGCTGCAAAGGCAGGCGAATGGCGGTTGCTCCCCTGGATCGCAAGCGATTCTTCTCCCCCAAATGGGGTACCATCGAGAGCGAAAGCTCACACGTCTCAGCCCATTTCTCTCCCTTTTTCAGATCCAGATTTGAAGACAGATGGGTTCGGGATTGACACCTGTCGTTCCATGGTGGCCGTGATGGACGTACCCTTTTGCGGTTGAACTGGGAGGGGGGGGCTTCTTAAAGGGGCTGGGCCGATGGGTTGGGGAGGCAGCATTATCTCTCCTTCCCTTCCGGTCTGCGTCTCTTCCTTCTCTTCCTTCTCCTCTCCCTTGTCATTTTTCAACACGGAGGCCGGTTTTTCAAGTAGTCCCAGGTCCTCTCCATCCTTCAGTTTTCCTTGACGATGCTCCCTCCAGAGCGACACCACCGGCAAGCTGGGCTTTGAGGAGTTCAAGTATCTGTGGAGCAACGTCAAGAAGTGGCAGGTAGCGAATTTGCTTCCCCTTCTTAGGGGGCAGGTGGGGGTCTTGCCCTGGGGCCTGGGGGGCCAAGGACCCTCTTTGCCTTCTGACCAGAGGCTGACCGCCCGCCCCCCCTGTCTCCACTTCTCAGTGCATCTACAAGCAATACGACACGGACCGATCCGGCACCATCGGCAGCCATGAACTCCCGGGGGCTTTTGAGGCCGCAGGTGAGCAGTGCGATTGGAACACGGTGCCCCTTTTTCCAGCCTGCAGGTGACAGAAACCTCAGGCACCTGTTCTGCTCCTTAAAATTAAAAAAGAAAAGAAGAACGGCTGTTCCTTGGGTGGGTTTTGATTTGATTTGATTTTTTTTAATGGGTGAATCATGCCCCATATTGGAAAACCAAAACTTCAATATCGCGCAAAAGGTCTACGGGTGGTCCTCGGCTTGCAACAGTTAGCGACTGTTCAAAGTTACAACAGCGCTGAAAAAAGGGGACTTACGACCGTTTTTCACACTTACAACCGTCACAGTATTCCCCACGGTCACGTGATCAAAATTCAGACGCTTGGCCACCGGCTCGTACTGATGGCGGTCGCAGCATCCTGGGGTTCTTGTGATCCCCTTTTGTGACTTTCTGACAAACAAAGTCTGTGGGGGAAGCTGGATTCAGCTAACAACCTGTGTCACTTATTTAACAACTGCAGGGATTCACTTAACAACTGTGGCAAGAAAGGGTCAATATTCACTTAACCAAGGTCTCACTTAGCAAAAGAAATCACAAATCATAAGTCAAGGACTGCCTGTAAATCAATTCCAGCTTCTTATGCTTCCTTCTCTCCACCTCCCCCCCCTCAACCCCACCCTCTCCATTTTTCTCCAGGCTTCCATCTCAACCAGCAGCTTTATGCCATGATCGTCCGCAGGTATTCAGACGAGAACAGCAACATGGATTTTGACAACTTCATCAGCTGCCTGGTGCGCCTGGATGCCATGTTCCGTAAGTGGCTGGGGCAGCCGTGCCCATTGGCATCCTCTTTGTCTCTCGGGTTCTCCTGCTTGAGCGGGGCGGGGGGCTGGACTAGAAGACCTCGAGTGTCCCTTCCAGCTCTACTCAATTCTTCCTCCATGGGGCTGAAGGGGACCCTAGCTTGGATGTCACCCGTGCAGCTTCTGCCCCACTTCAGTCTCTGCGTCCTGCCCAGCAGTCAGCCATCCTCTCCCGGGACTCCCCCAGCCAGCGGGTGCCAGTTAGAGGGGCTGACGTGATTCAGCATCCTGAATCTCTAACCAGGGTGGGCTTTGGCGATAGGCAGGGGATTATGGAAGTCGGAGTGTCAGACCTCTGAAGGGGCAGAGGATGTGCCTCGCTTCTGCAGCTTTGCCTGATTCGTCCCTGGGTGTCGGGCACGAGAGACCAGAGCTATTCGCAAATGGCTATAGCTACCAACTTTATTGTTCTCCGCCTGTACTACAAGAATCTTCCCAAGCTGCTCTCCTTCCCCTGGGAAGGACCAGATCTTGGGATCTTCACGGATCTTGGGAGCGGTCAATGTTTGTGCCTCTTGCGGCTACGCAAAGGTCTTGAAACTAAGCCCACGCGTGACCCCCTCCCCCTTCTAGCCTAGCTGGCGGTTTCCCAACACCGGCTTTCTTCTTTTAGGTGCCTTCAAATCTTTGGACCGAGATGGCAGCGGACAGATCCGTGTGACTCTGAAGGAGGTGAGAAAGAGCTTTTTGGCTCCCGCTCGGTTCAAGCTGCAGTGTGCGTTGTGTACGAGTTTTCAGCAAGTGCCAAAATGTGCCAGGAGATATCAGAGGCAGTTTTGAAGGAAAGGGCACCAAGAAGCAGGATTATGCCCTCACTCCTCCCCACCCTACCCTTTCTTTGCATAATTTAGACCAGGGGTATCTAATCTTCCTTCCTTCCTTCCTTCCTTCCTTCCTTCCTTCCTTCCTCTCTTTCTTTCTTTCTCTTTCTTCCTTCCTTCCTTCCTTTGTTTCTTTCTTTCCTTTGTCTCTTTCTTTCTCTTTCTTTCTTTCTTTCTTCTGCCCAAAGTCATCTTGTAGGGGACATGGGTGGCACAGAAATTTGATAATAAATAAAATAAATGAGAATGTTTTTATGCCATCAGCACATGCTAGCTGAGGAATTCTGAGAGTTGAAGTCCATCAATCTTAAAGTTGTCGAGTTTGGAGACCTCAGTAATAGAGCGATGCAAAGAGGAGAGAATGGACAGGGAGAGGCAAAACCTGAGGATTAGAAGCTTGGAGAGGATGTGGAAAGTGAAAAGTATTTCTCTCTTTTTTTTTGTTTGTGTGTGTACAGTGGCTGCAGCTCACCATGTACTCCTAAGAGCCACCGGCTGTCAGGAAGACCACCCTTTCCACTACCATCCCCAATTCTGTCCTGGAGTGGTATAGAATTCGGCATTACCTATTGGCAGACGTGTCTTCAGCCTGGGAAAATCCGAAGGAGATTCTATTCTGCGGTTCTGCTTCCTCTCCTGAAACCAAGCCAGGAAACCTCCTCTTTTTACTCTTGTGTTTTGCGTTGCAATTTTTACTCCCTATTGTAAAAGCAACGGCTGCTCTTCTCCATTAGCTTTCCACTTGCTGTCGCTGCTGCCTTTTCAAAGCACCAAGGGAGGGGGGGGTTATCTCTTGAAAGAGAAGCTCCCTTTCTCCCCCCCCTCCCACCTGCTTGGATTCGAATGGTGCCATGAAGATTTGATAGGGGACCCCCCCCCCTTTTTTTTGGGTAAGTTTCATTTTGTAAGAGCCGTGTGAGATTTGGATGGAGAGATGGGCTCGCGAAGCACCAGTTCCTTGCAAAACCAGGTCCTTTGTATGTGGGGGGGGCAGTGTGTAGGGTTTTTTATAAATGGGGGCCAAAGTGGTCTCTTTGTGGACACTGTGAAGTGGTGACGGATCATCTGGACTTTCATCTGGACGCAATTTGTATTTTCCCAAAAGAGCCAGGTCATTGCACTAGAAATAGGATGAGCTGAGCTCGACGGTCATTGCCTACCTCTTCTCAACTCCTCCCCCCCCCCCAGAAAATGTTTCCCCCTTTCAAAATCCCCAGCACCCTTTGCCTGGACATGATTTAAAAAGCAATAACTTAGCAGCTTAGGGAACCAACGCTGAAGCTACTTAAATAATCCGGATATATGACAGCTTGGCCTTTTTTTTCTCAGGCTCCAGGGGCTGCCGATAGAGGCTCAGCCCAGAATCTTTGAACTTGGCTTTTGAATTCTATTAAAAGAAAAAAGAAAAAAGCATCTTTATCGCACACTATGTGGCTGCACCGTGCAAATTTCTCAGCAATGCACTTTTGTCGCGTGCCAATTCTCTGCATGAATTTTGAAGGTCTATAAAGCAAGGCTGTCCAACCGTGGAAACTTTTATGATTTGTGGACTTCGGCTCCCAGAATTCCCCAGCCAGCAAAGCTGGCTGGGGAATTCTGGGAGTTGAAGTCCACAGGTTGAACACTCCTGCTGTAAAGTATATGAAGGAGAACTCCGAATTTTATGGGCAGCATTTCTAGAATTGGTTTCCTTTAAAATGTGTTGGGGTGTGTGTGTGTGTGTGAACCCTGCCAGATTGTGAAATGTGGACATGGTGAGTTTATAAGTCCCGGTTTCCTCCCTTTTTGGAAGGGCTGAGAAGGGAATCAGAATAACATTAGGGGCTCTTCATACTTCTAAAAGCTGCAACTGTTTCCCCCAATTTGTTTTTGGATCACGTCCAATTTGTTGGCTTGAAATTTTAACGAATCATGTTTTTCCTCCTCCTAAAATTAATGAGGAGGACTTGGGGGGGGGGGGAGGCTTTTGCAAATAGTCCTTTTGGAAATATCCCCCAATTCTGGCCAAAGGCTTTGCTGGCTCAAAAGAGAGAATTTGCTGGGGTGAAGAAAAAAAAAATAGAATCTTGTGATGAATAATTTGCAATTCTAAATGAGGCTAATGTTCTCTGTTTAGAACCGCCAGCAGATCTTTTCCTGTTGCCCCCCCCACACCCCCACAAACACCCCCAGGGTTAGAGGCTGCCTCCCACTGTATGCTCAGTTTTCTAATGGCTCAATAGCAACCGGAGTAAAAGTTGCATAACAATAAGAATCCGCGTGGCCTCTGTTGTGTTGTTTGCTCAGCGCCTTCTCCAGCAGAGGGAGGGTGCGTTCTGTTTTCGGTGTAATGCTAGTCTGTCTCAGTTACTCAGCCTTCTTTGCTGCTTAAATCTGTGTGAACTTCATGACCAAACTAGAGAATTTCATCAGTGTTAGAAGGGAGGAGGAGGAGGAGGACTGTGGGGGTCCTTGGTGCTCTCTGTGCTTAGCAGTTTTCTTGCAGACATCTCATGACCCAACTAGGGAACATCATCAGTGCTAGGAGAGAGGGGGGTTTGTTAGGAGAAGGAGGAGGGGAGAGGAGGAGAACTATGGGGTCTTTGGTGCTCTCTGAGCTGGGTTGTTTCCTTGCAGACGTTTTACGACCCAACTAGAGAACTTCATCAGTGTTAGAAGAGAGTGGGGTCGAGAGGAGGAGGAGGAGGAGGAGGAGGAGGACAATTATGGGGTCCTTGGTGCTCTCTGAGCTGGGTGGTTTCCTTGCAGATATTTCATGACCCAGCTAGGCAACATCATCCATGCTAGGAGGAAGTACGGTTTGCGGAAGAGGAGGAGGAGAAGACGGAGGAGGAGGAAGAGGCAGAGGAGGGAAGGAGGAGGAGGAGGACTATGGGTTCCCTGGTGCTCTCTTGAGCTTGGTGGTTTCCTTGCAGACGTTTCATGACCCAGCTAGGCAACATCATCAGTGCTAGGAGGAAGTACGGTTTGCGGAAGAGGAGGAGGAGGAAGAGGCAGAGGAGGGAAGGAGGAGGAGGAGGACTATGGGGTCCTTGGTGCTCTCTGAGCTGGGTTGTTTCCTTTGCAGACGTTTCATGACCCAACTAGGTTACATCATCAGTGCTAAGAAAAAGCATCGAACCCCTGAAGAACCTGCCTTGTTGGTATGCAAAGAAAGCCAGCCAATTCAGAGAGCACCCAGGCCCCACATTTGAAGGGCCGCCTTAATCTTGCTGTTTTTGGAGCACGTGGAGGCTCTGTTTCCCTGCATGGCTCAAGACCTGGTTTCTGTCTGCAGACGGGCCGACTAGGGGTTGTAAGGAGGGGCGAACGCCCCTCTATCACATCTTGGGCACATCACGGTCTCTTTTGATGGATGTGCTGCCTCTGCCGATGAGTCACAGGTGCCGAAGGCTGGACCAGCTTTGAGTCAGGAGAAGGTGGCTGTGACTGTCCTTGGGAGAAACGGAAGGGATTCGAAAACGGCCTGAGTGTGGATGGGACTTGGGGTGTTGGAGGTCTTAAGGTGTGAAATGAAGGGAAGGGGACCCTGAGGGAAGACTGGGGTCCCCCCTGGTTTACAGCACCTACTTTGCAACAGAAAAGGGGATTATTCTAAACCAGACCCAAAACAAATGTCTGTGTCTGTCTACCTGTCTGTCTGTCTATCTATCTATCATCTACTATCTACCATCAATCCATCTATCATCTCTCTCTCATTCCCTCTGTCTCTCATCTATCTCTCCATCCATCCATCTCTCTCTGCTAAAACCTCTTTTGTTATTGTGTCTCCCCCCCCCCTCTCTCATTATCAAATTTGTGTGTCACCCATCTCGTCTAGAGGCAACCTCTGGGCAGATTACAAACATTAAAACCGACAAACCTTAAAACGATAAAGCGATAATAACAAACCAAATAATCTTTACAATAAAACCCAGAGAGGAGGGAAGCATGAAGCACATGGGGAGAGGTTGTGTGTGTGGGGGGGTCTTCTCGTAATTCGAGCGGTGCACCTGCCAGGCTCCAAGACATTACCAAGGGATTGTCTGCCTAGAATAAAACGATCACAAAACATGGACAGAGTTTCCTGCTGGAATACCAAGACCACTTGAAAAGCAGCGTTCTCCTCTGCCCTGCCTTGCCTCCCTCTGTGTGTGTGTGTGTGTGCCGGTGTTTATGGGTGTGTTTGTTTTGTGTGCCACCCTGTTTGAGAACCACCTGCGAGAATAAAATACTCCCCGGGGGATTTTGGAAAGCGAGGGTGACGATGGGCTGCAGCTGACAGCCGAGGCAGGGTGCGCTGGGGGTTTTCTTGCAAAGAAAGCTCACAACAAACCAAGTTTCTCTCCCATCAGTGGCATCTTTTTGCAAGTTCTCCCCCCCCCCCCCATGATCAACGCCTCCGGGCTTCGGCGATGGGGTTTGCCTGCAAGTGTGCCAGCTGTCTCGGTGTCTCTGACACCCACTCTGTTTTCGAAGAGCTCAGTAAAAACAGGAATCAAAGTTGCATAACAAGAAATCAGCCTGGATTTTTATCCGGGTTGTCACACAACGATGCTTCCTTGGCAGGGAATAGATCTCACCTTTGAATCTCTGCCTGTCCAAATAAAGCCGGATTCCCACAATACATTTATTATCTGCAGTCACGATCCAGATGAGAGCGACATTCACAGCGATGTATGTATTGTGAGCAGCGAACTACACACACACACACTCGGAAACCAACAGTGGATTTATTCCACTGGCATCAAGCAACATACACCTCCCACTTTTTCTGAAATTAATTTATTCCTCGTTTGTATTGCTTTCACAAACACAGAGAACACAGCAAGTGCTAAATATTCATCTGGAGAATGACACTTGGGCTCCCTGTTTTGTCTTTGATGCCAAACAAGCAGGTTTTGCCCAGAAATGTAAGGGTGAGCTGTAGAGAGGGATGTCCCTGGGACTTTGAACCAAATGTAACTTGACTCACTTTCTCGAGTTGTCTTTTGACATTTTTCTCTGTGAGGACCCCCATGTTGGCACTTGTTCTGCATTTTGTGAAGTGGGTGAATACTGAAGACCCCAGAACCATTGGACTGGAGTAAAGGAAAGCTTACCTACAAACTACAAAGAAATTTCCTAACAGTCAGAACAATGAACCAGTGGAACGGCTTGCCTCAAGAAGCTTTGGGTGCTCTTATCACTGGAGGCTTTCAAGAAGAGATTGGACAGCAATTGTCCAGAATGGCATAGGACAGGGATGTCCAAACTTGGGAACTTCAAGACTTGTGGACTTCAACTCCCAGAATTCCCCAGCCAGCATAGCTGGCTGGGGAATTCTGGGAGTTGAAGTCCACAGGTCTTAAAGTTGCCAAGCTTGGACACCTCTGACGTAGGATCTCCTGCTCGAGCAGGGGGTTGGACTAGAGGACCTCCAAGTTCCCTTCCAACTCTGTTGTTCTGTTCTGTCCAAATTTTCTTTTCAGATAGACTGCCATTTTTCCACCGGGAAGAATGACCTGCCAATGAAGGCTTCTTTTTTGTCCCTCAGGGGGAACCAGGACCGTCTTTGGCATTTGCCAAACTGGAAGTTATTTAGCTGCGTTGCCCAATTACCCAAAGATGTTGTGGTTGCCTTGGTTACCAAGACATCTGCTGGGTAACCAAGAGGTTCCAGTTGCCCCGGGTTACAGAGATGTCCAAATTGCCAGCTTGCTGTGCCAAAAAGCCCAGGGTGTATCCAAATCTTGGCCCAGCTGTAAGAGGCGAAGCCGGGCCATAGTTCACAGGCCTGCTGTGTCCAACCTGACCCTCTGACCCTCTGGCTCTCTATGCGTCATATTGGAGGAGGGGTCCCTGGGGGCCTAAAGTTCATTGTGTCAGCCACAGAGTTGCTCAGGTGACGGCACCAAGTTGCCATCTCCATCCTCTCGGCCTCTCATCGGGTTGCCCTTGGCAACAGCATCCCCTGGAGGGAGGGAAAGAGAGGGTACCAACTCCAGTCCTGCCCCACCCATTTTTTCCCCAACCAGGCAGCCAATGGGGAGATTCCGCCGCCTGTCTTTCAGGGTCCCTGCCCAATGGCCTCCCTCCAGAGGCGGGAGCCAGGCTGCCTTGATCTTGCCTGGGAAGGCGTGGCTCCTTTCTGGATGAAAGCAGAGAGGAGACGAAAAGCAGCGAAGCAGGAAGAGGTACGTGGGGATGGGGGCGACGGGGTGGGAGGGGCACATATTGGGGTGGTGGGCTGCAAAAGGAGACCCCAACGGATGGAGGGACCCTTAAGAAAGTCGACCTTTGCCACAAGCATCCTTGCAAATCTTCCCGGATGCCGAACTTCATGCGAAGCTGATCCTGGTGACCTGCAGCCAGTCCTGGGTTTTCCCCTGGGGACAAACTCCAATTTGGGGGGTGGGGGTCTGCGTGATCCTAGATCACT